AGCAGTCCCTCGCTGCTGTCTCTGCGCACTGCATGTCCCTGCTCAGCATGTCACACGTGTCCTGCTTTCTTCTCCTCAGTGGCGAAACCAGTTTGCACCAGGCTGCAGCCTTACGCCAGCGCACTATCTGCCACTACATTGTGGAGGCCGGGGCTTCGCTCATGAAGACAGACCTGCAGGTGATGGCGGGAGGGCTGGAAAAGGGCCTTTCCATGGGGTTGGGGGGAGTAGTACCTTACTAGGTCCACAGAGGAACAGAAAACAAATCTTTGGCTTGAGTTTTTGCCAGCTTATGGCCTTATGTATGTGGAAAAGATGTGCAGGCCTAGGAGAAGAGGCGTTTATGATTCCTGGTGAGTTGATGTGAAATGTAAATGCTCACCCAGTAGCGCCCACCCGCTCAGCCTGATCCCAAGCTGCATAAAGGGTTAAATCCCTCTCCTCCTTGCTCCTCTGTGTGTTGTTTTATTAAATTAGAAGCGAGGGGCTGGAATGTCTCATCTCTCTCTCCCCCCTTTCCACCCTCTGAGGTCACAGCAAGGACAGTCTTGCTGACAAGTTCCTTCCCAGCTGCAAGGCTCCCCCCACTCTCCCTGGTATGGAGCTGGGATGGGAGGCCTGGGAGCTCTTCGGGTGAACTAGGCCCACAGAGACCATTTGCAGGCAGCCGGGGCACTTTCAGTCACATGCCGAATTAATTGAGATGTGCCTTGGTGTCAGGGGTTTGTGCCAGCTCCCACAAGAAGAGTTGTAGGAAAGGAGCTGAAGCTGTGTTTTGGTACACGAGGTTCCCAGAGTTGACATGCAGTGGAGGGGATGTGGCCATGTCAGTCTGGCAGAGGATCCTAGCTGATGGGCTGTAGTGGAAGAGATGAGGTGACAGACCAAGAAGGTTAAGTCTATAGGTCTGGGACACTGGGAAGGAGCCTGACTGGGGATCTCCATTTGCTGGGACTGGTAGAGCTCCAAGGTCTCAGACAATGAGCCACCCCTGTGCCAGCTGCCAGGGAGATGTCACACAGACAATCTCTGGCTCCCCATCAGTCCGCCTTGTTCCTGGCCAAGACTAGGGGCCTTGCGCAGCTGCAGAGCAGAGCTAGTTTGCCTGGAGACTCAGCCAGCAGACGCAGGAAGAGAAGGCAATGCCCAGGTGAAGAAGGCCCTGTGCAGAGCCAGGAGGAGAGGGCAGCTCAGAAGCACAGCCGCTCTGCGCCCGTAGAACAGAGGCTCTTTGTGGCAGGAGCTCAGGTCTCTGCTGAAGCATCTGCCTGAAGCAGATGAATGGCCCCTAACCTGCCAGCGCAAAAGGGAGCCTAGTTCAGGAATGACAGACTCCCCCAGGGAATGGGGCTTGCACGTGCCTGTGTAACTGCATGTCTGGCTTTGTAGCTGTCTGGGGACCTGTCTGCTCTTCTGCGCTGACCTTGCACAGGCCCCAGGTTACAGCTTGCCTGCACAGGCAAGAACTAACCTCGCTAGAAATCCCCGCTGGAGGAGCCCTGTGTCAGACCTGTAGTGCAGCTGGGGCATGAGTTTGGAAAAGCCTGGCCCTGTATCCCACAGTGTCGGGGGGGCTGGGTCTTATCAGGTAGCGTGCATCAGCCTGGCCAGGCAGAGGGGCCCCGGGAGCTCTAGTTTCAGGCTGCGGATCTGGGCAGGCAGCGTCACATCAGGGCTTCTGTGGGCGGACTAAAAAGAAACTCAACTCCATCCCTTGTCCCCGGCCCCCCACCCGCTCTGTTAAATAAGTTCTTGGATTCAGTGGATACGGAGAGGGGGGCCCCTGAGGAGAGCTGCGGCAGTGAAGCACAGAACAGTCTCTGTCCCCACGACCTGTGTGTGAGGGGATGAGGGGAGGTCTGTACAGGGATGCTGTGGCAAGGCCAGGCTGTGGTGTGTGAGGAAGAGGAAGGTTCTTGGTGAATGCATACCTTGGTGTGCAAATGGAGATGACCCTAGGTAGGAGTTACCTGTGTGAGTGAGCATGAGAGAGAAGGGAGACCGCAAGTGCCAGCCCTGTCCCCACAGCCTACCTGGTGGCACGGGGGAGCTGTGTGCATTTTTGGCATCGCTCTGCCTTTGTGGCGGGTGTGTGCGGGTGGGCTCAGGATTTTGTCCATGGTTGTGCCCACTAATGGGGGAGTCGCCACATCTGACCATATTTTGCAATTGAAAAATACAGCTGTGGGTTGTCCTGGAGGCACTTGGGCCACGCTGCAGCCACCCTGGCCCTGCTGGGCACCACGAGGTGAGCTGGACAAGCCCTGCCTTCCCTCGGGCTGCTTTGCAATGGCACCGGCAGAGAGCCAGATTTCCTTGGCCAAGGGTTCGTTCAGCACCACAGATCCTGGGCACTCAACTTGGAGCAACGAAGAGCAGGAGGAGGGAAGGGGGAGAGGAGACGTAGCTGAGAGCTGTTAACAGATTTGCTTTTTATGGAGTGCGGGAGTTCATTAGTGGACACAGTCCAGATGGCTGCAATAAGCTGGTGAAATGTGATCCTCCACTGGGAGCGGGAGCGCTAGAGAGGCTGCGAGCGGGGAGGGGGGTTGGTATTCCCGGGCATTCCCCAGACATACTCCTCATTCCTCACCCTCTCCCGCCTGCCTCGGCAGTGCGGGAGAAGCAGCAGGTCACAGGGACTGACCTTTGTCTGCTTTTGGTGTGGTGGGCAGGCTGGAGAGACAAGGGCTGCTCTCTGTGCCGGCCCGCATGAGGGGCAGCTCTCCCTTCAGGGGACTCTTTCCATTCTCAGCACAGATGGGCTCCTTTGGAGCATGATTTTGCTACCGGCCCCCTTAGCACATTGCCCACCTTGGGGCTTGGCTCTGAGGACTGCAGGCCCTCCTGGAGCCACCTTCCCCAAAGGGGAATACAGGGGAAGGGAGCCCTTGGGTGCCGAGAGCTCCGCAGGGCAACCCAGTGCTCTGACCCGCTGCCTCCTCGTTGCAGGGGGACACTCCCAAGCACAGGGCTGAGAAGGCCAACGACCCCGACTTGGCTGCCTACCTCGAGAACCGACAGCACTACCAGATGATCCAGCGGGAGGACCAGGAGACAGCTGTGTAGTGCTCAGCGTGCCTTAGCCCAGGCCAGCTCGGGCAGGACAAGAAGAGGATGGCACTGGCAGAGCTGTGAGTGTGGCCCAGCCCTCCCTAAATCTTGGCCTGGTCCTGGAAGACATGGAGGCAGCAGAGCTCTGCTCCAGGCTGGGCTAGAACTCTATTTATTAGGACAGTGGGTATTGGGATTTGCAGCCTGGCTCTTTGTGTGTCCCTGCTTTGTTCTTCCTCCATCACGTTCCCTGCCGTGGATGGGCTCCATCACACAAGGCCTGTTGCAGCAGGCAGAGATGAAGTCTTGTCTCCCTTGCACATGGGAGTGATACCAGAGTCCCCATAGGCTCTTCCCTGTGATCCTTGTGAGATATCGTTGCTGGACTCCATCTCCCCACGGGTGGTCTCCACTGGACACTTTGCTAGGCCCCCATCCAGTTCCTCCTGTCCTTCGCAGCACAGCCACGGGGGCAGAGGCTGTGCTGGGCAGGCTTCAGGATGCTGTGTGTGGAGTTGTGGGTCTGAGCCTCATTCCCAATGGAATCAGCATGGCTCTTCACTCCTGCTGGTCAGGGACTGTGTGGATCTCTGTATTGCCCTACTAGGGCCCTTTTGTGGCAGGAGGAAGGTCCCTGGCAGGTTTGAGGACGTGCACCAGCTCCCCAGAGCAGCTGAGGCCAAGCACTGGGGCTTTGCTGTTTTAAGCCTCCGTCTTTCTTGGCTGCTTTTAGCGTGGTTTTCAGTGTTTGGCCAGTCTGCAATCTGGCATAGGACAGATACACGGGGAAAGGCTGGTGAGCCCCCCGGCTCTGTGGCTCTGCTGTCGCTGTGATGGAGACGCGCTTGGCCTCCTTGGTGATGGAGGCACTTGCATTTCCCTAATGCTCTAGTGCAGCTGCCCTCTCTGCTTCAGCTCCAGCACAATATGAGGAGCGACACGGGGCTGGAGAGGCAGTACCTGCGTCCGTGCTGCTCCTGGGAGTTCCCCACACACCTCCTCAGCTGTGAACTCGCAGCCTCTGAGCGTGGCTTCCACCATCCTCCTCAAAACTGGAGGGTAGTGTGCAGGGAGTGCTGCGGGAGTTCACCCAAACACAGCTTTCCTGGGCAAGGTGCCAGCTTGACCTCTCCAGTTTGAACAGAAGGATTTGGATGCCTAGAAAACAAGCAGTAGGAATCAGAGCGTTTTCTTGTGTGCATTGGGATGGCATTTTTGGGTGCCACCTGCCACTGGGCTCAAGGGCACCGTGGCCCATCTCCCCTGCAGGTACAAATGCAGGCTGTGGGAGCAGGCCAGGCCTGGAGCAGCCCCGGCAGGCTCTGAGATGAGGAGGTGCCAGCACGTGAGGTGAGCAAACAGCCCCGGGGGTCGTGTACCAGCCTGGCATGTTAGGTAGGAGGCGCTTGTGGAACCGCCCTAGGCTGCTGCTCTCAGGGCCCCATGGGCTCCATGTGGGCATCACTGTCATCCTGAGCTCAGGCAGGGTGTGAGTCTTGACAGTGAGCTGTGCCTGTTGAGTAGTGCTGGTGACACCTTTCCAATCTTTCATTATGCCAATACCAAAAAAGTGTCACAGTACCACTGAGAACCACGGTGTCATTCAGGCTCTAGGGCCAGGGGTCAGGGAGTTATCTTAGAGGACCAGGGGAGTGGTGGAGGGGCACAGAGGCCTACCTGGGGCCAGGGCAGTGCAGAGAGGAGCACAGGGTCTGCTGTCAGGCATCCAGCAGTAGCATCAGCAGCTGGTACCATCAGTATCCCAGCGCATTCGAGCTGCCCAGCGCATTGAGCAGCGTCGGGGCTGCCCAGCAGTGCCGCTCGCTGGTGCCGGAGACGGGGCTGGTTGTCTGGGCAAAGATGCAGACTGCTGCGGCCCATCCAGGACAGCAGCCTGGCCTGGAAGGGTTTACAGCCCCAGCTTGCCCCCCTCCATCCGCCTCGCTCCCTAGTTTTGTATGTTCCCTTGGGTTTGTACAGGTAGTTGAGACACACACTGTCCCCCTCCCGCCTGGCCCGTGCGCCCGCGTGAGCTGAGTTGCTGTGCAATTCCAGGCCCGGCTTGTTCGTAGGCAGAGGCGCAGGGGGTGTTACGTAGCTCTGCCCGTGGAGGGCAGAGGTTCTGTGCAATACCTGGTTCTGTGTTTATTAGATGCTGTCGTAGGACTGTATTTTTGTAACTCTGTAAGGGTGCTGGCTCTAGCAGGCCACTGGCCTGGCGTGAGCCCGTGTCCCCACTGCTTTTCGACTTCAACTGTTTGGATGTTGTTGTTTCTTGCCATTGAAATAAAAAGATGGATGTTTTCCTTCCTGTCTCCCTCCTTCCTGCCCTCTGCATCTGCGGGAGCGTGGTAGGTGCTCTATGTATGAACACCTTTTCTCGGGTGCAAACAAGGTTTTTCCCCAAGGCTTCAGTCCCACGACTTAACCACAGGCTCAGAGTACTCTGTGGATTTCCCTGCCAGATCAGATTGTCAGTTCTCTTCCCTGCACAATTGCTGGATACAGAACCTTTCTCATGTGAGACCTTCTCCCTCAGGAACACTCTGCCATACATCAGTATTTACTGCAACAGGGAGATGATCCAGCAGCATCCCAAGGGGTCTGTATGAGCCTGAAAGCCTGAACCCTGAGCTGCCAGCCTGCTGTGCTGCCCTGCTCGCACCGCTCTGGCAGGGAGAGGGCAGTCCCAGGGGCTGGCTGCCCTGCCCTGTGCAGCCACACAGCTAGTCACTGGCTGCTGCAGCAGCGTCCAACCTCCAGATTTCAAAATGCTGGTGCCAATTCCTCCGATGTCCTTTTTTGTGGTGAGTGCAGCTGTCCCCAGCCATGTTCATCTGCTGGGGATGAATTAGCTTTCCCAGCAAGAGCAGAAGCCAGGGCTCTGCCTATTCATTCTCTGCTTCTGAGGGGGCATTTGGTTCCTGCTTCTAGTGCTCAGGGCGGGTGCTGCGGTGTCAGCCCAGCTTATCTTCCCAGCTCCTGACAAAAGGACACGCTATGACTGCAAGAGCGAGGTGACTAAGAGCTCTGCTGCTTCCAGCTCAGCCACTGCCTCCTAAGGATGATCATGACCATTTCTCTTCCAGAGTTTCCTTTGGAAAATGGAGGTAAGAGTGCCTGCTGTGCCCTGCTGTGCTGTGGTAGGGAGCTGAAGCGGGGCACAGTTAGGGATTCATACCATCAACTCGGATTTCTGAGGGCAGCTTGGCAGCCTGCCTGTCACCACTGCCTCCCCCTCTCTGGCTGCAGAGAAACAGCTCCTTCCCCCAGCACATTGTCCCTTCCACCCCCAGAGCCTCCCTTTCATTGACTTGGGCCTTTAAACCTCTGCCCGAAGCTAACAGTGGGATTCTGTGAGGGGCGTAATGCACACCAAGTTGTCCCAGCCCTCCTGGGTCAGTGCCCAGGGACCAGATGTGCATGTGATTGCAGCGAGAGGCTGAGTTCAGGCCAGTGCCCGGACCGAGCGTGTTGGCCCTTGGCCCGTTCCTGCACAGCAAGGACTGTCAGTAACCATGGCAATGAGAGCTTTCCAGCTGCCCTGGTGTCAAATTTATGGTGGGGGAGAGAAGAATTCCCAAATGCAATTGCTCCGATGAGAGGGGTGTTAGGAAATGGGCGGTCTACCTTCAGCTTCCTGCCCTGGAGAGAGCCGTGCAGTTTGGTGCAAAATGCTTCAGCTTTCCCCATCTCTCCCCTGCAGCGGGATGCGGGGATCAGGCCAAACGCTGTGAAAGCCTCTTTGGCATCCCACGGTACAGGAACACCTCTCTGCTGGGTGTACCTGGGAGGGGGGTACACAGCACACGTCGGCGTGTGTATGCACACACACGGAGGCTGTGCAAAACCAGCACTACCTCCACGGACCTGGCGTGACTGTAGGTAACTAAGTTAACTATTGGCAGCGCCTGCGACCCTCGTGTCTCCTACCCACGTATGAGCAAGGAAACTTGCTGCCTTGCACAGCTGTGTCGTTGCACTGCCACTGCTGCACCATACAGTGATCATGCCCCAAGGGCCAGGCTTTTAGTGGGGTATAAAATGTGGAGTCATTGTTAGAGGTAAAATCCTCTAGCTAAACAGCTGCAAGGAAATGCACCTGGGTTTGCCATGCACCTGGGTTTGCCATGCTCCCTTCCCTCCTTCCCTTGGTATGAGGCTTCTGTCTAAAAGCACAGAGTTCTGCTGCTTATTTAAGCTGGAAAAGCTCTACATCCTACTGAAAGGGGAAGAAGGAACCAAGCAGAGCCACGCTGGAGAGGGCTGCATGTGATCCCCTTTCTCACACAGTTACCTTGTGGCTTCTCATCCCCAGCCAAGGAGACATCAGAAAAATCCGGAGGAAGGATAGGAATGAGGAGAGCGAAACTCAATGGTGAGCTTCTCGGTGCTTTGGACTGCCCCGTGCTGGGCCCTTGGGCAGGGTCTCCATGGCTGTGCCTGGAGAAGCGCGAAGAAAACCAGCCGAGATCACCCCCCGGGCAGCTCTAGCAGGCCCTAGTTTGCTCATCACAGCCCCACGACTGCGGACTGCAAAACTGATGCTGCTGAATCCTAGCCAAAAGCAACGCACCTCGTCACTTCGCATTCCTCTCTGGACGTGGTTGGTCCCTGCAGCTTTCTCCTCCTTTGGTTTAAAGGCCCCAGTAATGGGGGACCAGGAGGGAGCCACTTTCTGCACTCTGCGCCCCGAGATCTGCTCTGCCTGCCCTGCTGCTGCTCCTCATCTGGCAGAACCCCGACCCAAGCCGCAACCACTGCTCTGTGTGTGCGGAGAAGGAGGGAGATCACCCCCTCCGGGTGCATGCCAGCCGTCATCTAAACCTCCGCAGATGTGCAAGAAACCGCCAGCAGACTGTGAGTTAAAAAGCAGGAATTTCTTGGAAAGTGATTCCTGGTTCTGAAGCAGCTCATAAAAAAACAACCCCAAGCCCCACCTGCGGCTGCCCTGCTCTCTCGGCAGCTTTATTCCAGCAAGAGGGGTGGAAAAATGGCTTGGTTCCCCACCACAGCCCCATTCTTTTGGCATAACACCAGACCTCTTCACTGGTAACTCAGGATAGAGCTGTTTGGCCCCAGCATACCCTTTGCCTATGGAGAAAAATCTGTAGTGGACGTGAGAAGTCACTACAAAGTCTTTTCATCCCCAACCAGCAATTTGATAATGCACTGATGCTTCATTCAAGTTGGAAGGCTGCAGCTGGGCTGAGCCCCAGACTGTCACAAGCAGGTTATGAGGGGCAGGACTGCGGAGAGCCCTGAGTCAGCATGAAATGCAATAGAAATAATGCATCCCGGGGTGGGGTGGGAGGCACATTCTGTCCCTGGAGGACGTAATGAATTGGGAAAGATAAAAAGGGCAGAGACCATGAAAGTCCAGTCCATCAATGCCAGAAGGAGCAGGAAAGAAGACATAAATGGAGCTGATGCAGATACAGTGCTCCCTCTTACCCAGATGCACCAGAGGGACTCTTCAAAGGGAATCAGAGTCCTGGCCCCCAGGAGGTATCGGTCCTGCGTGGACGAGGGCCGGGTGGCCCCCGCTCACACCCCTTCCCATCACTCTGCAAGGTGCCCAAGGTGAGCTGAGCCCCGATGGCTCTGCTGGTGTCGCACACGGAGCCCTGCGCTGAGGAGCAGCAGAGCCCTGTGAGCGCCCCGGGAAGGAGCGATGCGCCTGCCCGGGCAGGGGGCACATGCCCTGCTCGGACTGCACCCCTCGGGGCCAAAGCCCCCCCGCGCCGGGCAGCAAAGTCGCAGGGAGCGAAACCAACCGCAGCAGCGGGA